TAGGAAGTATATATGGGAGGTATTTCTGCTGCATCCTGTATATCTTGATTAACAATTTTAATGGCTCTTTTTGGGATTTGTTTTAAGAACTCACAGTGGACATCATCCGGTTCTACGGCTGAATTATAGGAGCTTTTAATGGAGTTTTCTCGTTCTGTCCAAGAATATAGTTTCTTGTCATTTTCCAGGTTCTTTGTTTTTGAAGTTTTATTTGCATTTTTCTGCATTTTCTTTTATAGTTTGGGATTGTTTACAGTTTTTTAAAGATATTATTGTGGATGTTTCAGTCAATATATTTGTTATAGCCTTTTGTTCATTATCGTGCTATTATTTATTGATTGATTTGATTTGTCTGTCTGAGGGCAAATCAATTCCCCATGGGTCATTTCATACCGAAATTTAATTTAATTTTCTTGTGTGCTTTGAAGTTGATTGATTGATTTGCTTAACGGCATATCAACTCCCCATGCGTCATTTAATGCAAAAATTTAATTTTCTTTGGGGCTTTGAAATTGACTGATTTGTTTAACGGCATAGCAACTCCTCATGGGTCATTTAATGCCGATATTTATTTTCATAAAAATATGATTGTGCTTTCACAATCTAATAACTGGTAGATAATACTCAGCCTTTGTGCATATACATGCGAGGACATAACTAACTAGCGGCGGTGATGTGCATTTTAAGCTGTAGTTTTGTTGAAGGTATATTTTGGAATACAGTTAGAGTTAAGAAATTGTACGATATATGTATTATTGTCATGACAGTTCTTTCATGTTGATTGTTTGAAAGTATTTTAAACAAATTAGGGTGAAGTTGGTACAATTTTGGTATGTGCGTATTGTTGGTAATTTTTTATATAAAAATGTATTGTTCGTATTTTTACTATAAAAATGTATTTTTATATTTTTAAGTGTTTTATTTTTGTTTGGGAGTGTTTCTATTTGCCCATAGCTGGGACCCTAACAGGCTTTACCACTCTTTTGGACAAGGACAATTAAGAAGTGGTTTTCTGCTTCTCAAAACCTCCACTCTCCCGATCAGGGGCTTTACTGCCGGATGTAGTTTATCGTTATACCCAGGAATATCTATTACTTATTGAGAGTTATTTTATTGGTATAAATTGATGTTTATCACATATTTTCTACTCATTTCCCAAACTTTTTTTGGTTTAGTAAAAGAATTTAGTTTACTGACATATTTTTGCCAACAGTCCTTTTCAGCTTCTTTTACAAACCTTTGTTCTATTTAGAGTTGATCAAATTGTTGGTTCTTTTGTTTGGATTTTCTAAGTGCTGCTTTACGTAGTCTAATTATTTCTTTACACCGAACATGTAAAGGTGCATGAAACGCAGTCCGTTATAGTCAGTTTATATTAGGAATATCTAAGGAAGGTAACTTAGTTTTAAGTTGTTTTTTTTATTAATGTTTTAAAAATACTGAACTTGTAATTCTTTAAAAAATTTTTTTTTAATTTTTTACAATCCCATTGCTTTTATAGACAGATATTGTTGCTATACTCATAATTAATTTTATTTAGTGTTGGTTTCATTTTTTTTTTTTATATAGAACGCTTCAAGAATTTGAAGTTTTTGTTTGTTATTTTCATTGTGAAGTATACGTGTATTATCAATTAATAGTTGTCTAAAACGTGAATGTAGATAAGACTGTTCTTTTAAATGTTGTGCAATAGAACTTGAATCCGAGATGTGTAAAGTAAGACTTCTTGATAGTGTCGTCGTTGTGAAACCAAAATATATATTTACGTTTTTGTCAGAGATACAATCTCCCAAAGAACATTTAAATTGATATATGTTGGTCTTTTGCAAAACATTAGTTGACGGAGAAGAGTTATTGCCGATGATTATGTTGGTTGCATTAAAACTAGTATATAATTAGTTTTATTTTTACTGGGATCAGTGAGGTTATATTAGTACTTAGGAATTTTTAAAGATTTTTTCATCTTGTTCGTAGTTAGTGTATTTGATTGCGGTATAGTAGGTTAAAATGTTTATGTTTATTTGAGGAAGTATTATGTACTTTTTTGGTTTATATTATTATTCTTAATAGTTCCTCTAATTTGTTCATCAACAATGTAATTAGCAAAGTCATTATTAATGAGAGTTGTTTAATGTTTTTTAATTCTGTGTTGACAATTTTTTTTAGTGGAAGAATTGCATAGTTTATTTAATTTTGTATAATTCCTGTTTTGCAATAGTCAGGACATTCACTTTTATAGTTGAGAATGCATGTGTTTATGCTAATTAGTTTTTATATAGGGAGGTAGTAAGTGTATTATTATTGATGTTTATCAGTATATTAAGAAAAGGAATTTTGTTGTTATTGTTAAGGGAACTTAAGAACAGAGTTTTTTGGGAAGTTATTTTTGTAGGTCATGTATTTTGCCTTTTTTTTTACCAAAGACGAGAATATCATCTATATATCTTAGGTAGATGGAGAGTTTTTAGTAGTATTAAATATCTTATTTTCAAGGTTAGCCATGTAAATGTTAGTAAATGCTGGTCCTAGAACTGAACCTATGGAAATGCCATCACGCTGTATGTATATAATAATTTTGATTGTCATAGAAGGGAATCTCAGTAGTACACATCAAGTATAGTTTCCATAATATGCTAGATTTAATTTTGAATCGAGGGAAAGATAATTTGTTGTAAATATTCTTTATAATTATATCAATCATTTCTCTAACTGGGAAATTGGTAAATAAACTTTCAACATCAAGTGAGGCTATGGTTTCATCATTAGTTTTTTATATGTTTAAGATTTGGATTAGTTCGTGAATTGATTTAATGCTGTATTTATTAGGTATGTATGGTGTAATGGGTAGGTGCGTGGCCGAGTGGTCAGAACGTTCGCTTTCTGATCATGAGACCCCTGGTCGATTTGTCAATCCAAGGTGGCTTCGTGAAGTTATCGGTCTGGAGGAGGCAATCCTAGTGTGCGGCACTTTTGGATTGTGGCTGACAACAGACCACGGGTTGACCGAAAGCCTTGTGAGTGAAATTGGGTAGACGGGACCCTTGGGGGCCTTCGATGGGTGTGCTAGCACCAAGTCACAAATCATCGTGACCGAGGGTTTGAGTGTGCTGGCCTTATTGAGATTGTTGATAACACGCTTCTCTTCGGGAAACATTAACTAAGGTCTGTTCCGCATAGTTGCTGTATAAACCACAGGTGGGCTCTGTTGGTGTTGAACAAACGCAAAATGCACCCGAGAAAGCGTCTGCATTAAGGATTAGCTAGCCGCCCTAGTAGACGTATATCCTTGCATACCAGTGGCCAGCCATTAACGTTATGGAGTAATGAGCTGGTTAATGATTTTGGTTAATTGATATACTGAAGTAGGGATTTGGGATATGATAAAACGGAGAAGTAAGTTAGATTTATGCATTATTGTTGTTCCATACATGTATCCTGGTTTGTAGTCACCAATTAATTTGGGAAGTTTTGATTTGCTTTGTTGTGCGTTGTTGGTTGTCATCACTTTTGTTGATTTTCAATTTCAGTTGGATAATAAGATTTTTGTTGGCATCTTTTCAATTTATTGTGGTCGTCAAGTATTTGTTGCAATTTTGTATTGTAATCAGATGTATTTAAACAACAAAGATTTTGGTTTTATCTGCTTTTCTTAAAATTATATGAGTATGGTTACGTAGCTCCTTGGCAGGGTTTTTTAATCGTCTTGGTCACAGATATGTGGCCGTTGATACCATCGGGCGAACCCTCTTCCTTGGACGTTGACTTCAATCTTAGAAACCAACTGACCGGAGACGCCGTGTCAACACCGTATGTGTGCTTACACAGCTATGGAAACCAGTCTACTCCCATCTTGCTACATTATATCATCATTATTTTAAAACGAATAAATAAAGGGAGACACGTTTGTATTTGTTCTTATTTATGTGCCGTGTCTCTTTGGGGCGTAGGCGATCATAGCTCTCCACAATTTCCTATCCTTCGTAGCTCTTAATAAATTTTGTATTTTTATTATTTCTCCTAAACTTTGTTCTGCCATTCATTTGCACAAGCTTGTTAGCTAGTTATGCGTTGTTTTCATCTGTCTTAAGATTTTTTTAAAGATGTTTGCAAAACCTCTTTCATCATTAAGTGCCATAGAAATTTCAACTGTCTCATTTTGGTGTTAAGTATTTGATTTTGTTTCCATTTTATTTCTAAAACTTCGTCGTTGCTAACATATTTGGTCCATGGTATCCTCAACATCCCTCTGTAGAACCAAATTTCTGTTTCTTCAAGTATCTTCTTTATCTTTGAGGAGATTGCCCAGCATTCACTGTCATACAGGAGGACTGATATTATGTAACAGTTCAGTACTCTTTTCGTCGTTTCTAACGAAATTATTCTGTTTCTTAATACTCTGATTAGCTTCTGGAAGGGATCATAGCCAAATTCTAATTGCATTAAAAATTTAAAGTTAGCTTGATATCCATAATCCTACATCATTTTATATGTTATATTCCGTGGTTACACGTGTTTGAGTAAACGTCCTTATTTTTCTGCTCGGTCAATGAATGCCTAATGTTTCCTGTAACGAAACGGTTAATTTCACAATTACAAATGACCATATCCTTTTTTTATATATATTTTAATAGACCCAAGCGCCACTCAAGGTAGAAGGGCCAAGGTGTGTGATATAAACGCAAGAGAAAGAAGTGGGAGTAGACGTCTCTGTTTATAAAATTGAGTGATTCATTCATTTTGTATGGGTTCTCAACCTTTTGCAGGTTATTTAAAGATATTAACTATTTTGGGATTATAAGGATTTGGGAGTGGGGAGATAATAATGATTAATCATACAAGTCTTACTAATTAACCTATAGATGAATGATAAGAGGTAGGTTCATATCCTTCTCAAGGGTATTGGTGTGTAAGTACATATAACGAAACCAACTAGAATTGGAACTCGGCTCACCGATTAACAATTCCAAGCCTTTACCCATTAAACCACCCGCACATTCTTGCTTACAACAGCTGGCATTCTGAAGCAGTCACCCATCTAGGTACTGATCAGGCTCGACGTTGCTTAATTTCTGTGATCGTACGGGAACCGGTGTTTCAACGTGATATCGTTGTAAACGCATTATACTACACGCACATTCAAATTTACAGCAATAGGTATTTCCAAGCGGTTACCTATCTAGGTACTGACCAAGTTCGACGTTGCTTACCTTCAATGATCGTACGGTAACCGGTGTTTCAATGTGATATGGCTGTAAGCCTATTATACCACCCGCACATCCAAGCTTGTAGCATCTGGTATTCCCAAGTGGTCACCCATTTAAGTTCTGACCAGACTCAACGTTGCTTAACTCGTACGGGAACCAGTGTTTCAATATGATTTAGCTGTAGACAAGACTGGTGTGGGGAGCTAAGGAGAATGTTGCAAAGCTTCCATATGCGGTGCTATAATCTTTAACTGATACGGGCAATATGTTAATATGTAATCTGTTTATGTGGGCTAGATAACGATTGACCTTAAACATGAAAAGGTTAAGATTATAAAGTTCGGTGGAGGGGAGGGGTCTACTCAACAAAGTAGCATTTCCTGGCAACATGTTGTCTGAGTGTAACATATTCCTTATCAATGGAATACGTAATGAACAAGGGTGATTAAATTCAGTGGAAATAACAGGAGACAAAGTGGATTGCGGCTCGGGTTTAGGAATCAGAGAGCCGTTTGAATTCCAGTCGAATTCTTTACATTCACTTACGTGAAAGGCATGAATCCATCTCTTCTCTTCCAGCTATAGCAACCGTTCTAGCAGAAGGAAAACTCTGAAATTCGAGGCCAGTTGATAACTCAGTACTATCTGGTATCATGGCGTCCCCTGTGACTTGCTTTTTCTCCCCGGACGTCACACACTTGCGTGCCCTGGAATTGCAGGGGCGTTTCTGTGACTCAGCGCAAACCATTACAACCATACCAACCTGCGAAAAGTACCTAGCTAGCTAGGTTGGGTTATCATCCATTCTCGATGGACTCCTTTAAAAAATAATGTAACAAGGCGGGCGTTGGCTGTAAAGGTCTGAGCTGATGGCACGAAAGAATAGAGTTCATCTTAGCGTTTGCCAGGGAAACAGTGACATAATGATGATAGGATTACGACATTGCGTCTGCGGGGAAAGAGGTTGCAGAGTAGAAAATAAGTCATCCTTCACTTGGCCGCGTGAATGATTTTGAAATATCTCAAGGCTGGACTGTGAGGATTGGGCCACTCCAGTCAAGATAAGACAGAAATACGTCATTTTTTTGTCTGATCTCACCCTTGTAAAGATAAAGCATGAATCAATACAATATTTAGCTGTCCCCCCACGTGGGGTCGCATGTGGCACAAGGCCGAGTTTTACGTGGTCACCCGAGCCCGTAGGCCCGGCCAAAAATATAGCCTTCGACTCGCCTAGGCGAGTTCGAGAGCTGTCATAACCTCCCCGAACGAAACCTTGCCCTTCGGCAAAGCTTCGTCCGGGTTCCTCTCTGCTAATGCAGAGAGTTAGACAGACGGCGTTGACTGTAACTTAATACAGCTACAGCATGAATCAATACAACGAGCAGTATAAGTATAAGACTATTTATGGATCGTAGATATGAGTTCCGCTGAGGCGAACTTCAGTATTAACCCCTTCCCCGTCAATTATTTTGAGAAAAACCTTTAATTCTCAGACGATTTTTTTATTGTTTTTAATATAGTAACTAAGAAACTGAGTCACTTTGAAGTACCCGAGCAGTGGCTAACACCTCTATCCGACGTATGATTTGACAATTGGATTCGTTTCAAGCTCAGAAGGACGTAAAAAGAATCAAGATCGACATATAAACACGTCTGTGGCTGGTTTCTGAACGTTATGATTTGGACGTCTTTAGTCGTTCGTGTCTGAAAGTGTCACTTTCGGTTAAAACGTATATACACGTCTTTTCATGGGAAGGGGTTAATAGCTGCACAAAGCAAAGAACCTTTGATATATAAATAAGTTACGTTTGGAAAGTTTTTCAAAGTAGCGAATCAAACAGAAGAGAAAAACGTAATTATCAGGAATATGTGGAAGTGATGATGTGCAAAATTTCATAACTGTCCGGACAGTTCAATATAAATGTTTTGCGTTTATTACAAACTTCTTAGGACAACTGCAATCTAATCCAAGATCTCGAAGACATCAGCCGAAAACTCCAGAACGAACATGCGCTACGGATTCGCCATAAATGTGACAAAAACCAAAGTCCTGCTCCAAACACGACCGGGACATCAACCACCCCCTGGAGTCAAAATCACCATCAACTAACTGAACCCGAAGAGTGTTGAACACTTTCCATAACTTGGTAGCATACTTACATCAAATAGATCGTCTGAAAAAGACGTCGATAACCGAATCAAGGTCGCCTATGGAGCACACGGGAAGCTATTCAAAAGAGTCTTCGATAATCCTGGGATAACACAAACCACCACGCTCAAGGTCTACCGAGCAATCTCGACTCTTCTGTACGCCTGTGAGACCTGGGTAGTCTACTGAAGAGACACCTGCAAACTTGAAAGATTCCATCAAATGAAACTTTGTCAAATCCTGCGGAACACGTGGCCGGACCTGATCACGAACAACGAAGTTCTCCACTGCGCGAAGATGGAGAGCCTAGAAACCATCATGACACGCCACCGACTACGATGGGTCGGATACCTTGTCTGAATGCCAGACATCCACGTACACAAACAACTTCTCGGAGCTTGCATCTGCGTCTTGAGACCACGTGGGGTGCCACGTCGTCGATTCAAGGATCAGCTCAAAAACACCTTGCTGGGGACAGAAATCGATCAGGTCAATGTGGGAGACGGAAGGTGCAAAAAGAACCAATCGGAGAAGAGCAGTCCACGAAAACACCAAAAGACAAATAGAAGAGACGAAGAGAGACCAAAGAAAAGCCGGAGGTTTTAATCCTTTGAACCCTCCTACCTATCATTTGGTGGCTGCGGCGTCTCTTCAGATCCTACATAGGACACATTTCACACGGAAGGACCTGTCGATGAGCACCCCAATACTCGAAAACGAGTTCTGCTGACGACGACTTATGAGTGGATAGGTTGACCTATCATCCGGTTAGAAGTCCCCCGACGGCTTTTGAACAGGAGTAGAGGTTTATCACTTGCTCCATATTTAGGATTGGGTTGTGATTCTTCTAGACTTTTTGCCAAACAAGGCTGAGAGAACAGTCTACCCTACGATTTAATCTATAGCTGGGCAATTTTAGGCCTAAGTACATAAGCACGAACTTGGACTCTCGATTTTAAACTGGCCTTGAGCCATATCCCGTCACCATGGTAGGACGAGTAACTTGGTAAAGTTTAGTATTTGCTCTTCTCACCTCTAATAGTAATTGTAATATTGACCGTTGCTTTATAAGGAAACATACTTAATTCATTGACCAAACAACCAATTGCCAGACAGACGCCTACCCAAACAAATCCTCTTCTCAGAGCTGGAACCTGTCAAGAGATCACGTGGAGCCCCATGTCATCCATTCAAGGATCATCTCAAAAATACCTTTGCTGAGGGCAGAAATTGATTCAATCAATTGGGAGACGGGAGCTGTAGAAAGAAGCAATTGGAGAAGAGTAGTCCACGAAAAAATAAAAAAAAGATTCTTCGAAAAGACCAGAAGACAAATAGAAGAGACGAAGAGAAACCAAAGAAAAACCAGAGGTCTTAATCCTCTGAACCCTCCTGCCTATCATGTGGTGGCTGCGGCGTCTCTTCAGATCCAACATAGAACTCATTTCACACGGAAGGAACTGTCGATGAGCACCCCAATACTCGAAAAGGAGTTCTGCCGCCGACGACTTATGAGTGGATAGGTTGACCTATCATCCGGTTAGAAGACCCCCCGACGGCTTTTGAACAGGAGTTTATCGTTTGCTCCATATTTAGGATTGGGTTTCCGGTTCTTTTTCATGTCTTTCTCATTATCACATTTTTTGCCTTCCGTCAGCATGGCTGATGCTAATCTCCAGAAAATAACTCATTGTTCCTTCGAGTTTTAACTTTTTCCACTAACATTAGTGGAACGATTATATTGAATCAGTTGCTGGGGTTACTGCTAGAGGTTACTGCCAAAGAGGGAAATTTTAACGCTCTTGCTCTGTCGTGCGCCGACGGCTTAGGGGTAGGATCTCTGACTGATGCCAAATCGGTCGAGTTGCGATCACGGCTTAAGCAATCGGACGTCTAGCCACACTGAATAGCTGTGATACAGCGAAATATTCTGTCTGTAGAATATATATATATATTGATAAATACACATATACCTACGTTTATCGTGTAACTAATTGTTAAAGAGAACAACTGTAATAAGTGGTTCATTTACTATTTGTGCCTGACGAGTAGGGAAATCATGAAACTCTGAGTTGCACGATAAACGTAGGTATATGTGTATTTATTAATATACTTCATAGCTCTGGTTAACTACACTGAGCACTGTTTTGTTTATACCATAAATGAAGTAAATACTTACTTGCTTGTCTGTATATGCACGCTATCGAACGCATATACTGTTACTAATATCTCGTTATTTAGTTTATATCCACTCTTATAGCTTGTATATTTATATTTCATATGAATACTTCCTTATGACAACTGAGATATAGTAGGGTTAAAGGCACCGTATCATAGATTCGTGGCGGTGAGAGACCCTTGCACCGGCCCTGATTATCAACATGGCAGATGCGTACTACCCGCGAACTTTTCCGGTTGAGGTTGGGGGCAAACCTGATTGTATGTCCCAGGCAGTGGTTTGTGACCCTCGTTATCTTATCAACATTTGCTTTTTTCTACCTACATTTATATAGGTTACAAATTAAACTAAGTACAACTTAAAGGATGAAAATCTTTCGCCAATTTTGACGTCATCCTGAGTTTTTTTTTCTTTTTCGTTCAAATCAGTGAATTTCTTTTGCTCATGTTAAGTCATATGATCCATTATTGTATATAATTAGGTTACAATAAAATTTGTATTTTATATGACTACTACCCTATAGAAATACTATCCTATAGAGTGGAAGGCTCCTGTATCATAGATTCGGGGGTTGGGCATGAAATCCTTGCATCAGCCCTGTGCTGAAAGGTTTGAATTCACTGCAATAGTAAATGGGCTATTTTGTTAATGGCGATCTCACAGTAGTAGTCGCTGTGGTTGATAATGTGTGGCGCACGCGCAAACACGCACACCTTTTAGAATGAAAACATGAAGGGAATTGCATATTAAGAAAAGGAAGCAACTCCTCTTGATCTGGGGTCTTTTTTTTCGTTTAAATCTGTGAATTTGTTTTGCTCATGTTAAGTCTCGAAAAAACACGATATGAAATTCTCTATTTTTTTTTATTCATAATGTGTTAAAATTATTCAACATTTTAACAAGAAAACTCTCAAGTTGATGTTAAAAATTGCTGTAAAACATTGTTGATTTATTTCAGATGGAATGATTTATTATGACATGTCTCCAATTTGTATTTAGATACATTTTATTTATTTTCAGTTTTTCTAATTGAAGTGTTCACCTATATTGCATATAATCCATTATTGTACATAATTAGGTTACAATAAAATTTGTATTTTATATGGATACTCCCTTATTGAAATGGAGTAGACTTAGGAGACCGTAGATTCGGAGCTATCATAGATTCGAGAGAGTACGAGACCCTTGCACTGGTCCTGAATATGGTTTAATTATTTTAATAAATTTAATTAAAATCTCCATGCAATGATTAATCTAATTTCTAGTTTCTTTTTATACAAATCGTTATTTTTCTCTCTTTTTCTCACTCTCTATTTCTCCAGGTGGCAACGTGCTTCATAACCAACTTCGCCTTTTGAAACCAAATGAAGAATTACATCTGCACACCCACTGCGACTGGATCGAAAGTCCAGGAATTGCCGAATATCTTTACCCATTCTGA